CTGTCCTTTTCCAAAACATCTACAATCATACTTGTCACATAGAAGGCTATTAATTCAATATTTGCTGATCAAGTAAACCAATGAATGAATATGTGAATGACATGACATGAGATAACATCTGTCCCCAAATGTATGAATGGCTGTTGTGTCAAAGAGGAACTAGCCTTGTTTTTAGTTCTGTATGATCAAAGTAAAGCCAGTGGATGACAGTTACAGGAAGGGGGGGGAAATCAGTTTGTTCCTTCAGGAGGCCTTTTGAGAGACAGTTTTGCAGCAGGCACTGGGAATATCAAGTGTAACATGGCTTAAGCATTCGAGAGCTTCCCAGTTTAGACTCAGGGTGTCGAGCACATAGATAATCACAACATACTGAAATGAGCACAGACAAAAAAATTTGGAGAATGTTGAACAAACCTTGGATAAGGGTATATGGGTGGGTTTGTGGTGACAAAAAATTATTTGCTTGTCCAAATTTTAGTCAGGCTTTTGAACCTTCTCCCAGGCCCACCTGGTACTTCCTTGTAAAGCCCAGTTTTAGCAAAGAGCTCTGCTAAGTCAGTTTGGCAAGAACCCCCATCCTCAATTACCAATCATCTTTCATATCTGATTGGGTTCCTCATCCTCCACCGTTCCCCAGGGGATGTCTGATCACCCTGACCTGTCTTCAGCTAGAATCCCGTTAGGTTGGTTTAGACAGAATTCCCCCACCACTACCACCTGATGTTTCCTTTTTGCAGTTTTTCATCCATTGACCCCTACCCTTCTCCTTGGCTATAAATTCCCACTTGTCCCTGCTATACTCAGAATTGAGCCCAATCTCTTTCCACCACTGTAAGACCCAATTACAGTGGTCCCTATACTCATCACAGTGGTCGGTCCTAAGTAAAGTCTTTCTTACCGTGCTTTAACAGGCATCATTGAATAACTTTTTCTTTAACGGAGTGGTCATGGTTGGCTTCCTGGAGAATGACATGCCTGAGCTCAATCTTAAAATAAGGAAGGAAGGGAAAGGGGAGAAAGGAAGGATAATCCAGGGAGAGAAAAAGCAAGAGCAGAGCCGCTGGGGAGAGAAGAGGAGAGTGTTGTGAGGAGCATTAAGGTTTCCTCTTGGGGGAGCAGCAGGATACAAGACAAGACACAAAACCTTAAAGAGTTTACCTCAGCTAGAGGAGAGTGGTGCTTATCACTGAGGTTGTGATTGAGGGCATTCAGCTTCAGGGAGTTTTATGTGTGGGGCTTGCACACTATGTTGGCGCAATAAGAAAGCCACAGCTAGGCCAGTTGGAAAGGTATTGTCATTGTGGAGGGCTGCCTGAAGTGGTGTGCAAGGTGGAGGGCTGGATAGAGAATCTACAGAACTTTCCATTGACCTGCAGAAGCACATAGGGAAGGACACATCCAAGATGCCCTGGAATGTCCAGAGAGATGGGGAAATGAGCTGTAATGCCAAAGGGCACTGGCACTAGGCAGGCGTAGTTCCACGGAGCAAGTGTAGAATCTGTAATCAAAAGACCAGGGTGAATTCCAGCTCTCCTAAACACAGTGTACCACTCTAAACTGCAACATCATTATCAGTGAAATGGGAAATAGAAAGGCAGCTGACATGCTTCAGCCACCGGCTGTGTTCTAGGTACAGTACTAGGCATTTTGTCTCCCCATCAGTTGTTCAATCCTCACCATAACTCTGAATTTGGTATTAATCCATTTTGCAAGTTGAGGTCAAGAACCCTTTCCTCAATTAATAATGCTTTTTGGACTAGGAAGTGATAAAGATGAGGAAAAGAGCAAGCCCTTGTATTTTTGTTTTTGGGGTTTGGGGAGTTTTGGTATGTGAAACAATGCTCTAAATTATATAGGGAAGGGCTACAAATATTACATAACAATAAAACTATTCCATTGTCTTAGAAGCAAAAAAATGAAATACAATGTAAGTTTCATTAGCCTTCAAAGTAAATGCACTGACCTCATTAGCTCAATAGGGTGTCTTGTCATTTTCCTTCATAAGAAATCTTTTGCAGATTGCCTCATTTTTTGCTCTGTGTTGGTTTGCACAGTTAAGTCAGTTTCCCTCTTAGGTCGGTTCATTCTGTAGAAAGTTTTCATGGGTGGCACATTCTTGGTACAGTTGTCAACTGTTGGAGTGTATAATGGACGTGCTGAAGTCATCCTGACTATGCTTTAGGAATGCTGTAATGGGAATGATGGAGTTCATCATAAAGCTTAATTTTTCCTCACTGAAAATAGAAACTCCTTAATGAAAATATGCTCTAACTTAGGGCTTAGCTAGAGGAGGCAAATGCGGGTTAAAGAGCGTCCTTTATGGTTTTTATGGTGTGAATGGAAGAAATGCAAAATATCTCAAGCTTTGAGTTGACTGAAGAATTTCATTTATTTTTTAACTTCTGGTTTCAGTTTTACAATATTGGGTACGATTTTTAGTATGCTTTTCAAGAGTTCTAAATGAAACATTGCTGTGGGCACTGCTTTCTTCAAATCACGTCCAACTAGCAAACAAGAATTAAGATTGTACTTGACTCCCAAACCACAAGGAATATATAAGTAGGAAAGGCAACTTTTTAAATACTTGCTTTGGATCATTTTTTATTCTCAGTAGGGAAAATCACTATTTTCAGAGCAAATGATTCTGCATAGTACCTTTAGAAATCCAAGTTCATATATAATAGACATATACTCAAAGAATAGACATTCTCAACAAGAATTGTCAGACTAGCAGATGAGGGGGAATTGAGATGAGCATAAAGCAATCAAACCTCTAGGTACAAGGACAGATGTCCCAGGAAACCTGGTGCTCTGCCCTCTTGGCCAGTCTGGGTATTGGAGTACCACTAAGGATCAGTATGACATACTTTGAAAACTCGAATCTGCTCCACGCCTCTCCCATTTTGCCAAGGAAACCCAAGGTGGTAAATCCTAGGTGACCTCTCTCCTAGTCTAGGCTCTGGCACATTTTCTGACCAAGGGATTTATCCCAGACAGCATTCATTCCAGCCTCGCTACATAATGGCAGCCACCATCTTGGCCTATCCCTTTTCTGATCTAAACATGGAAGTGCTGAAGTTCACTAAATTCAATTTTATGGAGCTGATTATTTCAAAGGCTAGAATTCCATGCTTTGTTAGACTTTAGGGGCAGCCTAGTGAAAGACCTGTCATTTCTATGAGCAAAGATAGTTGAACAGAAAATCTTCAGATACCTCACTGTTTTAATTTTTTTTTTCCACAAAATGAAATCAAAATTGTAAATTTGGGTGAGCCCATACTGTTGTCTCAGATGAACAGAAGTGTTCCATGTTCCAGATTTACCAACCCAACAGAACTGGAACTTTGTATCTTGATTTTTTTCTATAAAAAAAAAAGACAAAAGATGATAAAATGAGCCTCCGCTGATCACCTTTTAATGCAATTTGCCCGGGTGGACTCCAGGAGAAAGAGAAAAGGAGGAGGCAGAATTGGAGGCTCCCAGCCTTCTACAGGGGTGCAATGTGGGACTGTGTCTCCTGCCTCCCCCCTCTGTTAACTCTTAGCCTCTCCTGTAACCACCCTCCCCATCACTTCTTATACCCACCACCACAATCTACATGTGCCCCCAGGACACACGACAGCTTCCTGCATGGAACTGACAGCACCTCCAAGCACGTGTGCTCCATCTCGAAGCACCATCCCGTATGACCACTTTCCTTGATGCTTGATGCATGTCATACTGTTCACAGTTTTCTAAACTTTTTTGGAATATATGAATTTATATATTTTCAGGTTGGGAGTTATGGGTAATTTGGCAAAGCAAATACCATAACTGGTTTCTTACATAACTCTGCAATTGGCAGGAAGGCACAGTGCATTGAAATTAAGCAACACTCACTCATCCAAGAAGACTTTGCTTTTCCTTTTTTGGAAGGATAAATGCCCTACTTTATTTTTTCTTGTTGCATATATTCTTTTTAATTATTGGCTGACTGTAATGATTCTTTGAAGTTAATTTTTAAATGTGAATGGTAGGGTTCCATTTAACTCTTGTTATAAGAGTTGTCCCTCTGTGCCCCTCAGCTAGAGAATGCTTAAATAACCTGAGTGCTTTTAGGTGGCAATGAAATTGGAGGGAGTGGGAAGTATTTAGGGCCAAGACTGCCATGAGATCTAAGCAGGTAAAGGGCTTAGAAGTTTAAAGAATTGCAGCCTTCTGAACGAACTGGAGTTAGTCTTGCATCCCAGTACACTTCTTCAGACCAGGCATCTTACCTGCAACTTCCCTTTCAATTATAATGTATATTCTTTGCATTTCCTCTTCCTTTAAAAAAAATTATAGCCTGTAAACAAGACTTCTTCAAGCTTCTTTTCTCAATTTCAAAGACTAGATTCTCTAAAGTGTTTTTGTGTCTTTGCCTGAATTCAGTAGCCTTTAGAAAATGATTAAAGTGTTGCATACTCCTGGTTCTCAAATCACAGTAATAAGGTTTTCAAATGAAAATCCTAGGATTGCCTTAGGATTTCTTCTCACCATAGAAGACAAGTTGGAATTGGGACATTCATCCAATAAATTCATCCAATTGTGGGGGGGAGGGAACTACACATCAAAATGAATCCCTACTTTTTTCTTTAAAAATAGTTTATTGGCTAAGACACATTTCAAAATGTTTTCTCTAATACCCCAATGTGAAATTTTGATTGAGGTTTTCAGGAAATTACAGGGATCAAGCTGTGCACCAAAACTTTGGTTTCCAGGTCTTCCAAAGCCTTGAAACCTCCCTAGAGGCTAATTGCTGTTTACTGCTGTAGACCTTCGTCCTTTTTCTTCTGTAACATTTTCCATCTTAAGAAGGGTCGTCCCATTCAGCCGAGGAGCGTGTTGTCTGAGTGGCTGAATGGAATTACTACCAGTGGAAACTATGCTGCAAGAGGGGTTGATAAAGCAGCTGCGAAGCAAACCTCAGCTGTTTTTTCCATTCTCCCCAAGCAGAGTTAATTAGCATAGGGAAAATGACTAAGGTGTTGACGTCACCTCTTTCCAGTAGAAACTTACACTTTGTCCCTGTCTGCCTGCAAGCATGCAGGACTTGACTCAGGAATTTGCTGTCCAAACAGGATGCTCTGGAAGCTGCACTTTTTTTTTTCCCAGGGGGCTGGCCCTCGGTGCTTTATAAGTGCGGACTCAAGAAGGAAACGGCAGCCTCTCGGAAAAGAATCTCACTTGGGGCTTGACTGCGTGGGTCTCTAGCGCTTTCGCTGTAAGAAAGCAAGATGCATTTTAGAAACTTTAACTACAGTTTTAGCTCCCTGATTGCCTGTGTGGCAAACAGTGATATCTTCAGCGAAAGTGAAACCAGGGTAAGGCTTTTAATCTAATGTGATTTTTGAGAGTTTTCAAAGCATTACGCTAATTGGGACTAGCAACTGAAATACTTGTGGAACTGTGGCTCTCTTGTGGGTTTTCGGGTTTTGATATATCTCCAAAGAATTTTAAGCCTTGAAAAATCAGAAACTGTTGCCTGAGGAATTAACTGTGAAGAAATTTTTAAAGATCTCAATATTTGAAAACATCCAGGTTCCTGGACCAACTAACCTAGTAAGGCAGAGTTTTGGCATTTTTGGCATTGTATGTTTTCCATTCTGTATCTGTTCTAAGTAAACTTTTCAGAGGGAGGTCTCTTCTGATAGTGAATTGGACAACTTACAGCTAGAGTTCAGAATAATTTCATTTAGGAACTAAATATTGTAAAGATATGTACATGTACATGTACAATGTGATTGCTAGAGTTTGTCCTCAAGCTTCTAGATTTCTCTAGATAGAGAAGATATAGCCAGAACAAATAATAAAACTGGATAAATTAAGTATGGGATCAGTATGCCTCCTGGGCAGTTCTCATTGATGGGGATTAATATAATTAGTCATTTTAATCACTATACTTTTCCTCTTCATTTGCTTAAAATATAAGATTTTTTTATCAGTAGCTACTGAGCTATCTAATTGATCTTTGATAATATTATTAAATATGAGTGCATCTTATATGTTCTGTTTAGTGGGTGGTGTTTGTGTTATCTGCTTTATACCCAAAGCCATACTGGGACATGTGAAATTTTCTTTTTTTTAACTCCATTGTGTATAATGATTTGGAACTGTAGTTTTTGAGCTAGGTTATAGAGCATGTTCCATGTGTTTAATAATACAAAGTCAGTCTACTTAATATCAGCCTTATGTGAGTAAAATCATTATTTTTACTTAAGTAGAGATGATGTCCAGCAATTCTAAAAACTAGCTATCAATTATTAGGACAAACAAGATTATTTTTTAAGAGAATGGCATAATAGTAATCTAGATTTTAAAAGATAATATGAGTTCTCTTTTGTTCTGGTCCTGAGCCCTGACCCGCATTCTAAAAATATTCACCAAAGTCATCTCTCCCAAATTCTGAATCATAACTTCAGAACTACACAGTTGGTTACAATGTCTATTGATGAGGTCATGTGAAATTCCAAATTTACAAAGACACCCTTATGCCAGAAATGTGCCCGTACTCAGGAGAGGTAGGGAAAAAAAGCAAGAGGCGACCAGATGATGCCCACTGCCCAGCATCTGCCCCGCCTTCCTTCACACATGCTGAACCCCTCATGGGAAAGTCGCAGAAATTGCCATAAACTGAAAAAAGTTTAAGGAGATCGAGGTTGTGGGTTGTTCCAGTTCCTCCCTAATGACCCGCCTTGCAGAGACAAGCCTCTCTGTTCCTGCCCCAACCTGGGGCAGGCATCACCTGCCAGTGGCTTCCCAAACTTTCTAGCAGTGAACATTCCTGAAGACCTTCTCTCTCATCCAGAATCCTTGCTCCCTGCTGTTGAAACACTGCACTTTTCATAGTTTTCCAAGGTCCTCAGCGAGTTTTGCTTATTGTTCGTAGGACGGCATCGAAGGCTCGCTGCTTACCATCCAGGCACTGGGCCACCCCTTCTTCTCTGCCAGCCCTTCTGCCTGTCACACAGGTTCCCTCAACCTGTCCTGAGTGTTTTTAGTCTGGTAAAGACTCAGAAAACATGGCTACTAAAAGCCTGTCCAGTCTTCTTTGAATTTTTGCCTGTCCACCAGTGAACTCCTTCTCTGGAGGGAATCCTAAGGAATTGCAGGGGTCTCCTGCTCCCCCACACACACACCCTCACCCCAACCCCACTCAGGGGGCCCTCCCCACAGCAACCTAAGCTTGTAATCCTTCGACTGGACTTTTCATTCCAAGAGCTCATGATGTTCATAATTTTCACCAGCTCTTATAACACTAGATATTACACATAAATATTAAAGCCAGCATACAGAAAAGGGTCCCTTTGCAGAACGTTAATTTTTAAAACAGTATTATTTTAGAGTTAAAAAGTAACAGAGATAAAAAAAAAAAAAGAATGTCTAAAAACTATGTTCTTTAAGAAATGCAAGACTTTTTATTAACTACATTGTTTTTCAACTCAATTTTTTTTTCCTCAAGTTACCTACAGTGCTTTTAAGCCCCAAAGAAATATCTGAGCTGAGTAGCAGGATCGGAATTGGCCAGACTGGGGAAGGGAATAGGAATATCAGGTGGGGGGCAGGCAAGGGAGATGAATTGCCAAACTGTACTTTTTTGGAAAATGCTCATTTATTTGTTTTATTTTTTATTATAAAGATGTGGGGTATAATTCAGGGTTAGATATACAAACGTTGATTATGCAGGTACCCTTGTTGATGAGCTATGTCCCGCCCTCCCCTAGACACCATCATTCTGTTTTAAAAAGTATGTTTCTGTTACCATAAGAAGTTTCTGTAGTTGTTCTGCTGACTAAATAAATTTAGTAAATCATACCTTCTTACCTTCTTGTAAAGTCACCTGCATTAGGACTAAAAGGGCATCAAGGAAAAAGGCTTTTCTCTAAGGAAGAAATTAGGAATTCTTGAAATGACTGATAGATAGTTCACTTCCTCAGTAAGAAATGTAATAACATCGTCTAGTCAAGGGTCATATCCAGGTAAATGATAACTTCTTTTATTTTTATTGCTATTTTGCAGGCCAAATTTGAGTCCCTTTTTAGGACATATGACAAGGACATCACCTTTCAGTATTTTAAGAGCTTCAAACGAGTCAGAATAAACTTCAGCAACCCCTTCTCGGCAGCAGATGCCAGACTCCAGCTGCATAAGACTGAGTTTCTTGGAAAGGAAATGAAGTTATATTTTGCTCAGGTGAGTCGGGTTCATTGTTATGCACGCTTCTCCCTTCTCCCTCCCACCCTTCTTTAAAGCAGCCCATACGCGGGGCTTGGTGGCTCGGTGGCTCGGTGGCTCAGCCTGTAATCCCGTGCTTTGGAAGGCTGAGGTGAGTGGATTGCCTGAGCCCGCGGGTTTGAGACCCGCCTGGACAACTTGGCGAAACCTCATCTCTACAATGAATCAAAAAATTAGCTGGGCATGGTAGCGCGTGCCTGTAGTTCCAGCTACTTGGAAGGCTGAGGCGGAAGGATCGCCGGAGCCCAGCAGGTCGAGGTGGTGGCCGGGAACAGCCACTGCACTCCAGTCTGGGTGACAGTAAGACTCCAACTCAAAAAAAAATTAAAATTAAAAATAAAATAAAGTAGCCCATACATTAGGTTATATGCTGATGGGAGACTCCAAGAATTCATCTTGAGGAAAGTAGAATTCACACTCTGAATATTCAGTGTCTCACTTAATTTAAGAAGGCATCAAAGTGCATTTGAAAGCAACCTCAGAAATAGTCCCTGGCCTGCTTGGGTTGATAACAATGGAGGAAAGAATGCCTTTCCTGTTCACTGGGGAACTTGTAGGGTGTAGCAGTGTAAGTGGGGCTATGAAGCACCCTAGGATTTGTGCTCGAAGGTTGGGGCTAACGACCCTCTCCACACTGAGTAAACCAGAGTGGTCCCATTTGTATATTTCCCAGGCACTTGGCAGAGAACTAGGAGTCTGCAAATCAGTATGGGGCTGTGAGGCCTGACTTGAAAGGAAAATATGGGTTAACTGGAGTGGGACCGGTTGCTAAGAAACCCTCTGGTAGCAGGGGTCCCGGCCCCAGGACCCCTACTGTGGGAAGAGAGGGAACCTGAGTGGGTGTGCTTTTCGCCTCCCCACCACTCTTCTGACCCTCCTCCTAGAGACCTTAGGACAGGTGACCCATTATCAAGGCAACTCCCAAAGTTCCATTTGACGTAAGGGCTGACAGACTGTCACAGGAGGGGAAAGCTTCTAAAATACTGCTCCTCAGGTAAGCAAATCCCCACCAGGCTCTGTGTGCCACCACACTTCCCCGGATTGAAGGGGACAAGGCTTCCTGACAGTGGGAGGAAGCTCGTCTGACTCCATGCCAGATATCCAGAATGGCTGTTCGTCATCAAAGTGGAAGGGTCCTACATGTGTAAATTAAAGCCTGGGCATACTCTTCCATCCCCACCCCCACTGTTCTGCCTTGGGAGGCTCGGACTTGGTGTTGACCTTGGGTCCCTAGGCTCTTTTTTTTTTTTTTTTTGAGTTGGAGTTTCACTCGGTCGCCCAGACTGGAGTGCAGTGGCCGCTTCCGGCCACCGCAGCCTCGACCTGCTGGGCTCCGGCGATCCTTCCGCCTCAGCTTTCCAAGTAGCCGGAATTACAGGCATACGCTACCATGCCCAGCTGATTTTTTGATTTATTGTAGAGATGAGGTCTCGCTGCCCAGGCGGGTCTCGAACCCACGGGCTCAGGCAATCCACTCACCTCAGCCTCCCAAAGGCGCGGGATTACAGGCTGAGCCACCGAGCCCGGCTTCTAGGCTCTTTTCATGAGCATACTCCTTTCTGCATTGAGTGAGGTTTTATGGAAATAATTACCTAATACTTCCACGACCTTTTCTGATTATCAAAATAATGCATATTCATTGTGAAAATTTGGGAGGGATATGTCACAGTGCAAAGAAAATCTAAACTGATAAGCTTTTGATGGCAGATCCTTCTGGACAGCCCTCAAATCACTGGTACAATTTTAAGAAAAAAACAAGAATCATAAGTTATTGTTCCTTATTCTTATTTTTTTTAATTTCCTGAAAGGTACTTTTTTTTTTCCTTCCTTACATTTGGAATCTGATTGGGAATCCCCAGGGGAGGGACCTCAGGACAGCTGCTAGGTGAAGAAGCCTGGGCATCCAGGTGAGGGGCCCTGGCATCCCATCCCTGAAAAACTGTCTCATCTCAGAGCTGTTACTTAGCCTTTAGACAGCCAGTTTGTGCCTTTGTAGTATGAGAAACTTGGACAGATTGATTCTAAGATCCCTCCTGACCTCAAATGAAAGTAGCTTTATTTTTTCTGTTTATACTGAAATTATCTTTGCTGATTTTCTGTCAGTCTAAGTCAAGCATATTTACTTGCAGACTCTGTGCCTGTAAGTCCCGCAGCCCTGCAAGGGGCGTCATCACATTTGCACCATAACCCGAGTTTACACATCTCTTGGCCTCCCCTGTACAGACTGTACTGCAGTTCGTCCTTAAATCACATCTTTCCTGATACCTGGACGTTGGTCCACCCAACTCCCATAAGCTGTCCTCAGCGACTGCTGCCTCGTGGCAGGTCTCCCTTACCACTACTGACCTGTATCCGTTTCTCTCCTCAGACATTACACATAGGAAGCCCACACTTGGCTCCACCAAATCCAGACAAGCAGTTTCTGATCTCTCCTCCTGCCTCTCCGCCAGTTGGTTGGAAACAAGTGGAAGATGCTACTCCAGTCATAAACTATGATCTTTTATACGCTATCTCCAAGCTGGGGCCAGGTAAGCCACACCCTCAGGTAGGGAGGGAAGCAGCATGAAACCCGGATGCTCACCTGCATCCCCACAGCCCCTTTTAGCTCTTGTGTGATCCGGTGTGTTCTGTGAGGTCCCTGTCTGCATTCTTCTGTATCACTGTGACTCCTGCTGGGAGCAGGCATGCTGCCTTTCAGTGCTGCCTGCTGTGTCGGAGAGGCTGTGGCTCATCATGGGGACCCTATCCACATCCCTCCCACAAGCATCCTGGGAATCCCCCCCACTGAGCACAGCCTGCCTGGGCAACTTGAGCCCTGGCCCCAGGTCCTATTGCTTCAGATGTGGATGAGCGATTGGACTTAGAAAAGGGAAAACAGACCCCCCCCTTTAAGAAATTTCATTTTTAGTCAAGGTGGTTTCTCCCTGCTGTGTGATTCTTACCTGACCTTTTTAAAGGGAAGGAGAATCATAGATCGAAGTGAAGGAAGAGCCCCCATCATGCATGCTTACCTCGTGGCCTGTGGGGTACTTCACTGCAGAGCTTGCCAGAGAGAGAAGGTTCCTGTCCTCTGAAGGGACAAAGGTGTGAGCACTGGTGGAGGGTCTTGGGGTGAGGTTTGAGCCCTACTTCTGCCCCCATCTGTAGGGCAAATCAAATAAATGCTGAGACCATCAGCTCCTCATTTCTCCTTCCCCAGCAATCTGTTGTTTCTTTAGGTTGAGAGTTTTATTTTCTTGGACCATCAGCAGTTTTATATTGAAAAGATTACATTTCTGAAAACATTGCCCAAATGGAAATTCCCTCTGTGGGATAAAGCAAGAATCACATTACTTACTGCTAATCATGGCGTGAAGGTCAAGATCGAAAATGGCCAGTTTGAGGAAGTGTGACCTCCAGCAGCTCCTGGCCAGGACATGAGCAATGCTGAGGATTTGGAATCTTCTAGTAGGTTAGAGGTGGGAGGGAACGGATCTCCACCTATGCAGAGGTGTCAAACTATTCCAAACACAAGGAGTGCTGTTGATAAATCCTTCCCACACCAGAATCTACCACTGCCTTTACAGGAGGCTTATTGGAGAAGCCTTTTTAGAAAATAAACACAGTAGCATCAGTTTGGTCCTAGTTCACTTAACAATGAGCTGGAGTCATAGTTTGTATTTCAGCTTTACTTTTTAGCCAACAGGATTGCAGAGTTTTTGTAGATATGATCCTAAGACCCTGAGCTTTCTGGATTTGGGCCAATTTGGGAGATGGGGAAGGACTTGGAAAGAGGCTCTTAACCAGTATTTCTAGGGATCTGTCTGACCTCCCATTCCTGAAGGATCTCTCTTGGAGAGCAGAGACTCCCTAGCCTTTTCAAATGCAGTCACAATAACATTCCAGTCCCACGTGTGGGATAGAGAAAAGGCAGCCACCTTCTTTTTTTTCTTTTTTTTTTGAATTGGAGTCTTACTCTGTCGCCCAGACTGGAGTGCAGTGGCCGCTCCCAGCCACCGCAGCCTCAACCTGCTGGGCTCCAGCGATCCTTCTGCCTCAGCCTTCCGAGTAGCTGGAACTACAGGCGTGCGCTACCACACCCGGCTAATTTTTGATTTATTGTAGAGGTGAGGTCTCGCCAGCTTGCCCAGGTGGGCCTCGAACCCATGGGCTCAGGCAATCCACTCACCTCAGCCTCCCAAAGGCACAGGATTACAGGCTGAGCCACCAAGCCCGGCAGCAGCCACCTTCTTAGAAGTAAAAGTGTCTTCCAGATTTAGAGGAGGAGCCGGAGAAGAAGCTCTGCTGAGGGGCACACAGGCCATGTTGGTGAGGTGCCTCCTTGCTTGCCCAGAACTATAAAAAAAATCCTGTGCACAACGTCCTGGAAGAAGGCTCACCACAGGCTACCGTGGAGGGGGAGCAAGCCAAAGCAAACCTTCTGCTCCCATTTCATACCCCTAGCATTTCTCCAATGCCCAGCATTCCACCAGTCACAAAGCAGCCTCCATTTTTATTTTTTTTAATTTTATTGAACTTTCTTCTTTTTTTAATTTTTTATTTTGAAGACATGGGGTACAATTCAGGGTTAGGTATACAAATGTTCATTATGTAGGTACCCTTGTTGATTAGGTGTGCCCCCCCCAGCAGTTTCCCACTACTGCCAATCCTTTTCTTATAGTATTACAATCATTGTTAAAGGTCCATTTATGAGTGAGAACATGTGATACTCAGTTCTTTGTTTCTGTGAAATCACTCAATATTATAGATTCTAAGTCTACCCAAGTCGCTGTGAAGTTCATAATTTTGTCCTTCTTTGTGGCTGTGTAATATTCCATTGTGTATATGTACTACATTTTTTTATCCAGTCCTCTTTTGATGGGCAGCACAGTTCTTTGCATGTTTTTGCTATTGTGAACAATGCAGCCTCCATTTTTAAACATCATTGTAAGCGGCACGTACAGACAGGTGTATTGTGATCCAGGCCCTAAGTACTTCATGTTTACTCAGCCAGGCAGTTAGCACCAGGAAGTCAATTCCTTTATCAACCCCTTTATAGAAGAGGGGATGGGGATGCATGGGGGGAGCACAAGAAAGTGCCCACAAGCTCCAGGTGCTAAGGGATCAGGCTCAAAGCCCATATGTTAACCACTATGCTATGAGCACCAAAGGTGCAGACTCTTCCTGTAGCCAGACTGGCAGCCTACAGAGATGCCCAGCTCCTTCATTCAGCATTGCCAGGTTTTCCAGCCCCTGAAGCTCCCCCAACCCTTGCTGCACCAGACTGGCCTGAGCTTTCCTGGGAGGAGCAGGCTGACTAGAACAGTAGAGCACTCCTGGTCCCAGGGGATCAGCAGTTGTTATAAGAAAGGGGATTATCAAGGTCAAAAATGTTTCTGGAGTGCCTGGCTCAATGCAGCCAGAACCTCATGACTCGCTTCCCTGGTGTGCTCTGTGGCCTCTAGTGGGAGCTCCATGAGGGAGACTCAGGGTATGTGTTTCCAAATGTGTTTCTCATACATCTTTTCCCCGAACTGATGTTTCTCACACCGTACTTGGGGAGATGCTGGCAGAGGGAGAGTCCTCTGCATAGTTTAGAATGCCTGATAGATGTGATGAGTGTAATTTTAAAACTGCATTTCTTCCATATCTTTTATATGCCTAAACTCAGAGTGTTTGACTGGAAGCAGAGTCATACACAACAGAAATATATATTTTTCTTAGTAAGCCAGCAAAGAAATACAAATCTGGCTGTGTTTCTCAGCTCCCTTGAATGTACACGGGGTGGGCAGAGAAGAGTCCTACGTGCTGTTTTCTTTATGCTTGCCTTTTGATTCCAAAGGACTTGTCTGAGTGACCCTGCAATTACTTTCTATCCCTAGGAGAAAAGTATGAATTGCATGCAGCGACCGACACTACTCCCAGTGTGGTGGTCCATGTATGCGAGAGTGATCAAGAGAAGGAGGAAGAAGAGGAGATGGAGAGAATGAAGAGACCCAAGCCAAAAATTATCCAGACAAGAAGGCCGGAGTACACACCTATCCATCTCAGCTGAGCTGGCGCACGGATGAGGAGGCATTCCAAATCATACTCACGGGGAGAAATCTTTTAATGTGGAGGTGACCAGTCACGACTTTGGAGGTGGCAGCCGAGATCGGGGTGGCAGAAATCCCAGTTGATGTTGCTCAGAAGAGAATCAAGGCTTTGTCCCCTTGTTCTAATGCTGCACACCAGTCAATGTTCATGGCACCCGGGAATGTCTTGGGCCAATCACTGATTTAGTGGTGATCGCACAAGGACATTTGGGACCGTCTTGAGAAAACCGATAACAATAGTGTTTTGTACTTGTTCTTTTCTGGTAGGTTCTGCTTGTGCCAAGGGCAGGTTGATTAATGGGTCCAGGGAGAGCTTCCTGTTTCTAATTGGCCTACAGGGCCGACACTCTACTGGTGGGAAGAGGCACCACACAAAGCCGCCTAGTGCAGAAAGGTTGTGAAAACAACAACAATGCAATGTGGAAATTGTAGTGTTTCCTTTCTTCCCTCATGTTCTAATGTTTGTGCATGTATATTACTGATTTTCAAGACTAACCTTTGTTCGTATATAAAGTTCCACCATTGTTGTTTGACATCTTGGGAAGCTAGGAAAGCATTTGGAAGATGTATAACCTTTCCTAATCCTCGACTCTCTTTGCAACAGCACTCACATGTAGAATTCTTCCTGGAATACATCCACTCAGCATCCTATCCAGTGCAACATGTCACTTGTGTTTTTGCAAAAGAAGTTGATCTGAAATCCTTATGTAGAGTTTAGTTTCTACAATTCGGAGAATAGCAGTTTCACTGCCAACTTTTAGTGGGTGAGAAATTTTAGTTTAGATGTTTCCGTTATTTCTTTTACATGGTGGTTTATCTACATGAAACATAGCCAAAAATCTTTTGGGGAGCTGTTGGTTGAGATTGTTGATTTTTCACCCCACTAAAACATCCAGAGTAACTTGTAAATAAAGCTGATAGCATATACTCATACGGCTGTGGAAGACTAGTGTAAGAAGTATTAGCCTACCTGTGAATCGTATGTTGTAGAAAATGCTGTTCACATGTTTAACGGGACTTGAATTCAAAGCATGTCAAGTGGATAGTAGATCTGTGGTGATACGAGAGGGATGCAGTGCCTTTCCCCATTAATTCCTGATGGAATTGTTCTACTAGGTTACCATTTGTAATTTTTTTTCTAGTTGTAATGTGTATGTCTGGTAAATAGGTATTATATTTTGGCCTTACAATACCATAACAAAGTTTGTCATTTGGAAATTCCTAATGCCAAGTAACAATGCATGTTTTGGAAGTTTGGAAGATGGTTTTCCTTGAGAAGCAACAACTATGTTTGCATTAAATTCTTTGATTGTTCTTATCAAGAAATTGATCGAATGTTTTCAAACACTGTTTACAGTACTTGGTAGGAGGAAGCCTGGACAGGAGAGGCCATTGCATTGCTGTTCAAGTGTTTCTAGTTAAGTGCTTTTAAACTGGAGAGGCTAACCTCAAAGTATTTTTTTTAACTGCATTCTATAATAAATCTGCATAATATGCTCTTTACGGAAAAGTTATTTGTGTGTCATTTTATTTCTAGGATTAATCTGAGAACCATTTGAACTCTTCAGTCTCCAAAGGACATATTACTTTATAGGTTTGAGCCTAACTTAGAAACTCCTAAATTTTGTGCTGTAGTTCACAGAGGGTCCACCACACTAACCATTTTGCGCATCACGTAGGAAAGGGGCAGATGAGTAAAACTGAAATCTGAAGTCTGAGTATTTCCTTTACACCAGTAGATGCCACTGTGGTGGAAACCCTACTCAACAGCACAGCCACTACACAGCCACGTTTTTCATAATTTGAGTTTTCTATTAGAGAAGATGTCCACAGAGGATACTAAGTTGTGAAGGCCAGTTATATTCAGAAGACCGTTCTGAAGGTCTTCTGTTTGAATCTCTGGCAGCATTTTCCCTGGGACTCTTATTTCAAAGGGTGGTGAACTTCCTGGGCCAGCCCTCACAGGCCTAACTCACACAGTATTTATTTGCTGAAATCTAGCACATGACAGTCATCCTGATCAAGACTGTCATTGCATTTCTCCATGAAAATTCACATGCTACTGTTTCCCGCCCCCGCCCCCCTACCCGCCTTTTTTTTTGAGTCAGAGTCTCACTCTGTCACCTAGGCTGGAATGCAGTGGAATGATCATGGTCATGCAGCCACCGCAGCCTTGACCTCCTGGGCTCAGGCAATCCTTTCGTCTCAGCCTTCCAAGTAACGGGAACTACAGGGACGCACCACCATGCCTGGCTAATTTTGTGATTTATTGTAGAGACAAGGTCTCACCAAGTTGCCCAGACTGGTCTCAAACCCCTGGGCTCAGGCTATCCTCTCACCTCGGTCTTCCGAAGTGCTGGGATTACAGGCTTTTTCCCCCTTTTATGAGAAGCACCGTCCTGTCATTTTCAAGAGTATTTGCATATTTTAAAGCCATTTATGTTCAAGGTTTAATCATGCTGGAAAATCCACACTTCAGTCAAGCTGATCAAATTTGAAGTGAGCAGATTCACTAGAAATAGAAAATAAATCTTTCCAGATAGAAACTACCAGCAAGTCTCCTTACAAAATGGTTTTGGGAAGGAAAGGAGATAGCCAGTGGTCCTACTACTGCCAGTGAAGTTAACAGACCTTAGAGGAGAAAATACAAGACATTAAACATTCTTATTCAGGACAGCCTATCTCTTTTGAACAGTTCTAACCTCAGTTGAATTCCAAAACCAGTAGTTGCTGGTTCCTAGGCTGATAGATCTGAAAGGCACTAACTCATGAATGTGCCCAAGGCTCATACATTACTTTGTCTGAGAGGTGCTCAGTAAAATGTAAAACAACAGATATATAACAGGCAGAACACACCCTTTGCCATTGATTGAAAGTATTTCTTAAATAGGTTCTGATAGAATATATCACTGTTCTGATGCTAAATAGCTTAGGGCCATCCCAGAATTAAAAATCAGTCGCTCGAAATGAATGCTGAATCAAAGTGAAGGACGATAAATGACAGGAACAAAGAGATTCATGCAGCTATTCAGACTCAGGCAATAAGCATTGATTTGAAGTCAGCAAGCATTTAGGATTCTACATTTCCAGAATGTTGTGTAAATGAGTGCCCACAGGAGATCTGGGTTTTCAGAGAGCTTTAATTTTAAATGAAATGGACAGAACTCACTACAGAGTACATAGATTTTCTCAAATATTAAATTGCAGGAGATTAAATGCACTCTACGGGCATGTTATGACCAAAAGTGAATGGGTGACTGGAGTGTACCATACTTCACAGTGCCCACAAAGCCCTGCGGAATGTTTACCTCTGCTTAACAAGTGCATATCCAACAACATTCATCTCAAGGTCAACAGTTCAGACTGAACCTGCACACACAGCTAACGTTAAAATTATTCAGGAAAGCTGGGTATGGTGGCTCATGCCTGTAATCCCAGCACTTTGGGAGGCTGAGGCAAGAGATTGCCTGAGCCTAGGAGCTGGAGACCGCCTGGGCAACATGGTGAAACCTTGTCTCTACAATAAAATTTAAAAGATAAAAATAAGCCGGACTCGGTGGCTCAGCCTGTAATCCCGCGCCTTTGGGAGGCTGAGGTGAGTGGATTGCCTGAGCCCGCGGGTTCAAGACCGGCCTGGGCAGTGAGACCTCATCTCTACAGTAAATCAAAAAATCAGCCGGGCGTGGTAGCGCATGCCAGTAATTCCGGCTACTTGGAAGGCTGAGGCGGAAGGATCGCCAGAGCCCAGCAGGTCGAGGCTGCAGTGGCCGGGAGCGTCCACTGCACTCCAGTCTGGGCGACAGAGTGAGACTCCAACTCAAAAAAAAAAAAAAAGATAAAAATAAAAAATTAGCCGGGCATGGTGGTGCATGCCTGTAGTCCTAGCTACTTGGAAGGCTGAAGTAGAAGGATTGCCTGAGCCCAGCAGGTCAAGGCCATGGTAGCTGTGATTGTGTTACTGCACTCCAGCCTGGGCAACACAGACTCTGACTAAAAAACCAAAAAAAGTTATTTGGGAAGAAGGTAGACTATGAGTGACAAGTATTCTTTCCTCCCTCCTTGTTTGGTCTTCTGATGCTAAAGTAAGACAGGAAGGGAATTTTTTTGTTTTCCAAGTATATTGCCGCTCTTGGCAATGCTTAATTCACATCTGAAATTCTCACTCTGTGACTCACCAAAAGTTACATGGCAATCAGGTAGATAGATTTGCTTCTCACATACCTCATTTCTTCGGCAGTCATTCCCTGCTGTTCGTGAAAGGTCATTTCAATCATGGCTATGTTTGTGAAAGACATAAGGAGATTATTCACAAGTGGTTGAGATGTGCTGCCTGCCTTCAGCATTTCTTCTTTCAGAATTCAGATGAGGGACTTGGTGATTCTTCTATACGGTGAATGAGCACCAAGCAGATGCTATGGCCACTGCTCAGATCCCTCTTTCAAGGGTGTCGGGGCCCTCCTGGCTGACAGTCCTACTCAGGCCACACAGAATTTTCAGTGCTTCTAATTCACCATGTTACCTCTTCCCTCCGCCTAGAAAATTCTCTCATCATCCCAGCCCAGGCCAGCTAGCCCCACACTGGGTGTGCAGTGACTTATGTCTGTCCTGCTCACCTCTGTCCAAATCACCAGCAGCTACCTCTGTGCCCAGCCTAGAGTGCTCAATAAGTATTACTAAAATAATTAATTGACTCTTTAATATTTGTTCTGCAGGTCTCTGTGAGTAAAGTCTCTTCCCCCTGAGAATCAATGCCAACCACTCCTTCCAGGTCTTCTGTTGTGCCCCATTCTTCCCCACAGAAATATATATTGTCTTTTGAACATAATTTTTAAATTATTTGACTTCCCTGTATAAACATAAATTGGGTAGAAATGAGATTCCTGGTAGCCAGTGGCTCATGGTAGACATCCAACATCCAAGTGGAGTAGATGGATCGGATGGGTGGACGGGTGGGTGAATGGGTGGGTGGATGGATGGATGGATGAATGGGTGGGTGAGTGAGGATTCTGGAGACAGAGGAGTGGGCAGTCACTGAAAAGGAATAGAAAAACAATGAAGAAAAGAAAAACAATGAAGCCTGTTCCATTTCCTTCGATAGTGAAGCCAGTAAGCAGCTCAGTGCTTTAAAATGACAAATTGTCAGGTAGCTAGAGCAACAGGAATGGAAGGGAGATGGTAACATAATTATGTTGGCGTAGGATAATTGGTGAGAAAAGAACAAGAAAAACGTTCATTTTTAAAATGTTCTTTTCAAAACAGGGTGATTGGTTAAAGGGTAAGTGACTGGGAAGGCACATGAGAACTTTCCAAGGTAATGAAAACATTCTGTATCCTGATTGAACAACGCAGGAATAGTCATAGTAATAGGTGTATACACTTGTCAAAAACTCATCAAGCTGTCTACTTATAATGGGTGCACTTTGCAAGTATAAAGTATGCCTCAATAAAGTTGATTTAACTTAAAATTCAGGATAAAGAAAAAAAAATGAACTCTCAAACAGTGGGCAAAGTTGAGGGAACAGTCTTTATCATCATATCCTTTTGAAAACATTTTTCAAGTACATAATGCTTTGATAACATTTTAAAAATACAGTGTTATACAGCAAGGCAAAGCAGCATCCCAAATTAGAGTGAGCATCCTAATTAGTATTTTCTGGAAGACATTGATATGTCCATAACAGTTCGTTAAATTTAAAAATCAGGCCGGGCGCAGTGGGTCATGCCTATAATCCCAGCATTTTAAGAGGCAGAGGTGGGAGGATTACCTGAGCCCACGGGTTCGAGACCAACCTGGGTAATTTGGCGAAACCTCATCTCTATAGTAAATCAAAAAATTACCCGGGTGTGGTGGCACGTGCTTGTAGTTCCAGTTACTTGGAAGGCTGAGGCGGAAGGATCACCTGAGCCCAGCAGGTTGAGGCTGCAGTGGCCATGAGCATGCCACTGCACTCCAGCCTGAATGACAGAGTGATACTCCAATTCAAAATAAATAAATAAATAAAATAAAAATCAGGCAGGAGGGGTAGGGTTCAGAAACTGCTTACCTATATAGGAAATGGGCCACATGAGACCCAATTCCCACCACTACACAATATGCCCATGCAACAAATCTACATGTGTACCCCCAAATCTAAAATTTTTAAAAACTATTTTTAAAAACCCACATATACTGCCAGGCACATAATAAATGCTCAATAAATTTATTTTAAGTTAAAAAAAAATCAACTTGGACTATATTTGCTTCCTTGAGTTTAATATATAACTAATTTCTTATGTGTTCAAAAACAATATGTTGCTACTTCAAGAACAGTATACACATGTACAGTCAGCCCTCATATTCAGCACTTCCATATATGCAAATTAAAGCAACCAACGAATCCTGAGTCCTAGATTCAGACCATATGTCCAGAACAACTCAGCCCAACTGTGTTCAAACCCTGCTCAAAACTTCTTCCAACTGCAGAAGCCCATGGAGAAGGGAAGAATAGAAAGGGTTACTCATTTGC